CACTTTAATTTTTTTTTTTTTAAAAAAAACTTATTTTTCACCCCACAACTCACGAAACTATATGCGATACACAAATCACATATTCAAATGAACCGCATAATTAACAATTATACGAGATTTTGTCTCATATATACTAACACATATCCAACTCAGACGCATAGTTAATAATTATCCGAAACATGTTCGCATATTTATTAATCGCATGTCCAAATTCACCACATATTTTTTGTCACGCGAATATATTTCGCATATATAGTTATCGCATATCAAAATTGATAGCCGCATATTTTCCGATTATGTGACAAATTTTCTCATATTTTACGTCTCGCATATCCAAATCGGACACATAACTAACAAGTATGCGAAACACTTGTGCATGTTATGTAATCGCGTATCCAAATCGAATGTCGCATATTTCATATTATGCGACATATAGTTGCATAGTTTACGAATCACATATCCAAATCCATTGCATAATTTACTATATGCGAGAACTTTTTGCATATTTTTTTATCGCATATCCAAATCGAAAGTCGCATATTTCATATTATGCGATATGCGTTCGCATAGTTTATGACTTGCATATCCAAATCAATAATGCTGCATAATTACCATATGCAAGAACTGTTCGCATATTCAAGAATCGCATATCCAAATTGAAAGTCGCTTATTTTATATTATGAGACAAATGTTCGCATAATTTACAACTCGCATATCTAAATCTATAACGTCGTATAATTAACGATTATGCGTAATATATTTGCATATTCAAGAATAGCACATCCAAATCGAAAGCCGCATAATTTCAGAGTATCCGCCATTTTTTGGTTGATCCATATCATAAATTGCATATTCGAAGAAAATATTTCTCATATTATTCACATAGTTTACGCATTACATTGGTTCTTAATTTTCACGTGAAAAACGTAGACAAATGACATTAGATGAATGGCATGTACCTGCATTAGTTGTCGATGTATATATACCACAATTATTACTACTCATGAATTGTAAGATTTAGTTGTTAACCTTTCACTTCTCGAAACCAAAAACAAATGAAAAAACCTTAGCATGGGTAAAATTCTTATATTACGATCTTAGAAAGAAAAAAAAAACTTAAATGTTTGCAAAAAATATAGACATGATTTCACGCAATAAGCAGATCGCGATCCGCTTCTGTGGCATGGAGTGAATCGAGGATGAGGAAGATGCTTGATACCTAGTGTTTTTTAAGAAGTGCCTTGAGAATGCAGACATACACCTAGACCTTGTGTTCAATTTCTTGTGGTAAAAAATTGCACGTTCTCTAAATCGCACGCCGAGTTATGCCTTGAAGAAGGATCATTCTATTGCCCGAGTCCCAAAAAGATTCAGCGGCTCAAAAATTATTTCAATTTATTTTCAAGTTTTTTGTTGATTTCAGGAGTCCAAGTGTGTAGTGTTGATGGTCTTGTTGGTGTTGACCACATGTACTGGTTGTATGTGGGCGGGATAAGCGGCAGTTTGATCATCAGTGGCCGGGGTAAATGAACAAGGGCCTTCTCCAGTATGTGTAATGAGCTAGGGCCTGCTGGGTGAAAAGAGTTTCCTACTTGGTATGAATATGAGGGCTTGTGGTAAACAACAGAACTAGCTAAACCAAAATGACTCTGACATGCACCATTGGACACCATCATTTGCGTGAAGCTTTCTTGCCCCGTCTCCGGAATCCCTACATCGACGTAAATTTGGGAGTACTTCATTTTTGAATTAACTCTAGGATATCGTCATTGGATTTGATTTTTATCTTCGCAAGTCGAGGACTTCCCTCAAATGCGGCCTACAATATGTAACCAAATTACAAGTATCGGTCTATAATAATGCTTGAGTATGAGAAATCACTTAAGAATACATTTTTTTGCCACAATTTTTTCTCATCATAACTGCAACACCATTACTATAGTTACCCAGGGAAAACGGCGCCGCTATAGTGCACACATACTCTAACACGATTGCTAGTTTGGAGTGTAATTTTTAAAAGAAAGAAAATTAAGAGCCAAATAAGTTTGAGAAAAAACTGCAGTAGATATGAGACCTTAAAGCTTGAACCAAAAGAAATGCAGTAGAATGTAGGCAGGAAGAAGAACAAGAAGGTAGTAAATGTAGGCAGGAAGAAGAAGAATTAAATGGTAGTAAATGCAGGCAGGAAGAAGAAGAATATATGCTAAATGGTAGTAAGATTTCTAACAAAAAAATCTACATCTTGTTTGCCTAATTTACGTGAAAAAAAATAGTTTATCAATACGATACGTAACTATTCGAAACATATGCAAAATAAGTTCGCATATCGATATGTTACTATTCGAATAATATGCGAAACATTTTCGGCGGATATGCGCTTTGTGATATGGATTCGATTAAAAGATGGCGAATAGTCCTGAATTATGTGCCTTTCAATTTGGATATGCGATTTGTGAATTTGAGAATACCTTACGCATAATCGTTGATTATCGGAGTTATATATTTGGATGTGCGAGTCGTAAACTATGCGAAAAAAAGTCGAATAATCATAAAATATGAGACGTTTGATTTGGATATGCTATATCTAAATATCAGATAGTTTCACGCATATGTTAAATTATTCGGTGGGTTCAGATATGCAATTACAAAATATGCAAAAATAATTTGCATATTTATTAACTATGCTTCTAATTTGGACATGCAAGTCGTAAACTCTGCAAACTCATTTCGCATAAATATAAATATGCGGCAATCAATTTGGATAGCGGTAACTATATATGCGAAATAATTTTCTCATGATTTTGATTTGGATAATAATAAATTATACGATTTGTGAATATACGAACAAGTTACACATATAATTATACGACATTGTACATTTGAATATATGAGTCGAAAACTATGCGAAAATATTTCTCATTATCCTAAAGATATGCGGCAATCGATTTGAATACGGGGTAACAATATATGCGAAATAATTTTCGCATAACTTATAATCATAAATTATGTGATTTTTGATTACGCGAACATGTTGCGCATAATCGTTAATTATATGATGTTATAGACTTGGATATACTAGTCGAAAGCTATGCGAAAATATTTCGCATAATCCTAAAATATGCGACAATCGATTTGGATATGCTATAAATTAATATGCAAAACTTTATCGCATATGGTAAATTATGCAGTGTATTTGGATATGAGATTAAATAATATGTGTAAGTGTTTAGCACACTTGTTAACTATACGGTGTATTTGTATATGCGGGTCGCAAAATATGTGAAAAAAATGTCGCATAATGATAAATATGCGGCTATCAATTTGGATATGTGATTACTATTTATGCGAAATAATTTCGCACATCAAGAATTATGGGTGGATATGGATATATAATTAAAAATATGTGAATATGTTTCACATAATTATAACTATACGTTCGATTTTGTTATGCGTTGATATATATACGACAAGATCTCGCATAATTGTTAATTATACAGTTCATTTGTATATACGAATTGTTATATCGCATATAATTTCGTGAGTTGTGGGGGTGAAAAACAAACATTTTTATGACACAGTGTGTAAAAGAAATTGCGTGAGATGTTGAAAAAATTGAGAATAAAAAGAAAAAAAAAAACTCTTTGTTTTCAATATTGCCCTAAATTGAAACTGTTAAAAGGGAAATTCCGATTCATAAAACATTCCCTTCCCACACAAGCAAAGGCGCTGCAAAATCACCATCATTTCACCCAGAATCTGGTGGGTTTTCAATCCAATTCCGGCGGGAGAGAGGAATTGGTTCCATCCCCGGTTCGGGGTAACAACTCGATGATAACTCGTTCAAAACTCGTGGAGCAACTTAGAGATTATCAGATCCGATCCCAGCACCGGTGCCCTGCTCTCGTTGTCTTCTCTCCAAAACCGGTTCTCTCCACCTGGTATGTGATGTTACCTCTTGTGCTTCTGAGCAAATCAATCTTCAACACTGATTCTGATAAGCTATTTCGGTGATTTTTTTCTGCGTTATGCTTGTATGTTGGTTTGTTTTCTCGTTATGGAGAAATTGATGTCAATGTACATTTGCTGGAAGGATAGTAACATTGCATTTCGAGATTTTGAAGGTGAATAATTGTTGTTGTTATAATAACAGATACTTTTAAGGTAAACCAGGAAAGCATAAGACATAGAAGAACTAGAAGTGTGTTCCCTTAGCTTTGGTGATGTCAAAAGCCATTGTAGTTTTGATTCTAAAGTATCCAGTTGGTAAGGGCATCTTCTATCAGTTGATCTCTTTCGTCTAGCAAATCTCTCTCAGAATATGTTGTGCATTCATGATTCTATAAATTATGTGTTTTCTTGATCCCACAAGATTATCCACATTGTCTTTCATCATTCATCATATTTTCTCTCTTTCGTTTGATTGACAAATCCTCTTGTGCTGTTCATCGGCCGTGTGGAAAAAAATGGTAGTAAAACTACGATATCCATCAATGCTTTTATTTTTATCTGGTTTTGCTGAATGTGCTCATTTTTAATAAAATGAAATGTCAGTGTGTTATTTCTTTAGCTGCTTGCTTATTTTACAATGATTTGCTCTAGGTGGCTTTTATTTATTTCTGATGTCCGGTTAATCTATTTCCGGAGAAGTTTAATTTTCATTTAAAAAAAAAAATCATTTTAAGAGCTTATTCGTGAGCTGCTCATTGTTGTCACTAAATGTCAATAGCCTGAATGAATATAATGCTATATTGGTACATCATTATCAAGCTTATAGTCATGACTATCTAGATTCCTTTTAAGATATGTTGTTGTTTAGCAGCGGTAATATAACTTTCGTTGTATTACCTTCATGTTGACCCTTGTCCTGATATATCTCTGTTGCACAAAAGTTTTGGTGCTGACTAGTGAAATCAAAAGGTTCTTGAGATTTAATTTCATATTTTGCTCAAGATCATTTATCCTAGAACATCTCTCATTTGTAAACTGTGAATTAACTTAGATACACTGCAATTATAGCTTTCATTCATGTTAGTTCTTGATGTAGAACTAAACAAGATAAGCAAGATCAAAGTATAGGCTGCTGAAGACACTGTTATGTGGGTGACTTTTTGCAAATTACCTATGTGGTGACTGGTGAGGAGGACAAGTCAGATTGTCATTTGTCAGATGTTTAGACATCTATATGCATTTATTGTGGATCTAACATAAAACCTTTGCATTAGACAATAACTTATATAGTTTCATGTTTAGTACACTGTTTCGAGAAAGGGGGGGTTAGGGAAACAAATAGGACCTGATAGTGCTGTTGTGTTATATTTTTTTTTTTTCATTTGTGTAATGGACAGAAGCATTATTTTGTTTTCGTATAATTAAACTGGGCCTGGCTCCACATTGAATTGTTGAGATTTCATCTATAGGCAACAGAATCTGCTATATACCGTAGTCATAATTATTGGAAATTGGGCCTAGCAGCTATGCCTGGAAGATTACGTACTTAATGGTCTTCGGAAAATGTCTGTGGCTCTTTGCAAGATATTTTTTGTGGCACCATCCAAAAGGTAGAGTGATGAGGTCCTTAGGATGGTTCATGATAATGGCATCTTCAAGTTATGTGCTCCCATTATTTCATGAGCTGCTGCAACATCTGAATGAATGATCATCACTAAGTGTGCTCTGACAAATCGGCTCATTAATAGACAAGAGTCCGAGAAAATTGCGTTGTAAGAAAGAAGATGCCTCTGACCCGAAACATGTAGGAATAATCAACTATTTTAATAAATGTTCCAAAAATGAATGCTCGATTCGCCTTACAAATTTAAGAGGGGCCTTCTTCCTTAATTACTCAACAGATCCTGCATTTGTACAATATAGCTATGTCCCAACTCACCTAGTTCATGAATAGAGTTTTTGTCTTCTTGAGGCTGAAACATTTTCCCCTTAACAGGTCTATGTACAGTTCTCTCTTTTCAGGTTGGAGTTAGAGCTAGACTCTAGAGCACCTATTTTTAGCTTCACTGCTGAAACTAAGTTTATACAACATAATATCTATGCATATAGGTGTTGATAGTTTGATGTTTCTTTCTATAAGTTTCTATAGAAGCATTATTGTATGGTTTGCCAGTCCAAGTAATGCCTACTTGAAGTTTATTCTGTTCCTTATTAGAGTTTTACATCATTATCGGATGTTTTGGCGCTTCTGTTAGTACTTGATGGAAAGTGTTGGGTAGCAGATTTAACAAAAAAGAGTGTGGAGCTTGGGACTCTTTGGTCAAGACACAAGTTGTTGAAACATTGAATAGAAATGAATTTTGGTACTAACTCCAGTAAACAAAAGACGAAGATCATATTTGAAACACTGACTCGGTGGACGTTTTCAGAGCTATTTGAACCGTTTGAAATGATAATATCTAAATTACATTTCTTCTTCAACAGATTGGAATAACCATGCTGATAAATTTTCAACCATGGAATTGGCCAAAAAGATGGAAGATGAATACCTAGCAAAACTTTTTCTTATTCTTTCGCAAATCCAGTGCATATTTCATTACTCATTATCTATACGAAATGAAAGAATCATGAGCCAATTCCTATATGTTAGTGATTGTTACCTGTCATTTTCAATTGATGCAATTATTGTTTAAAGTTAGTTTTGCCGGATACTTTTGTCTTACTTGTGTTTAGAAACTGAATTGAATGAATACCTACAGATGTACAAGTGCCTAAAGTAGCTTAACGACTAATTAGTTGGCTTGCATAAGCCTTGAGTCGGGAGTCTGGACTGCATTCATTCTCCTTATATAGCTAATTTCTGAAAACAGCAATGCCCAATTCTTGGAAGCTTTCCATGGGGCTGTTTCTGCAGCAATGAGTAATTCTGCTCGAACTAGCTTTTGTTAGAGCGAGTTAGTATATTGGGGAAAATTCGAGCTTAGCATACATAATCACCTATGCCGATGCGTGTCTCTTTCGCTCATTCACTCTAATAAATTCTTAATTTCGTTTACTAAGTATACTAATTTACATGTTACTAACATTTTTGCTTAATTGGTATTTCATTTTCTCCAGCATCTCGTCAGTATTTACTTTTATCAATTCCTTTTTCCTTTTTTTTTGTTCTCTCCAATTTCTTACAGGACTGATGTTGCAGTTGCTATATTCTGGGCGTTGAGCTTTATTCTGCTTCTGAGTTCATCATATGTTGTCCTCTACTTAACACACTACTGGATTTCTTTAGCTTTCATGTGCATTGGCATCCTTGTCCCAATTCGTCTGAGAGTTGCAAGGCAATCACTTGCCAGAAAAAGAGATAGACGGTTGTTACTTCCTTTATCTATGTGAGTGCTGTCAAATAGATTAGGCATATAAAAGTTTTGCTGTAAGTTGCAAATTTGAGTTGATAAGCTTATGTAAGAACTGGAGTATTGAGAATTTGCTGAGCAACACACTCGTTGGTTAGAAAAATGAGAACTATTTTGAGTAAAGGTTGAAGGTGCGATACCCTTATTTCAAGTTTTGCAGCTATGTACTTGTAAATGTATTTGTTGAGAAAGGCGTGAAAGATTTTGGCGTTAGGATCTCAGTCGCTAGATGGTTTCTATAATATATTAATAGTTCAGGCTTTAGTGCTAAATTAGAATTTTAATCTGTGCTTAGCGTTAAAGTGTAAGTCCAGTACTTATATGTCTACCTAGAATACAGTAAGAGAAAATCAAGTTTTGTTACATTTTGCTTTACATGGAATATACTCTTTTTAGTATCTTTATTTTCAATTAATTTTGAT